GTCTCCCCACTGTAGCATCTCTATTCCTAAGAGGTGACTTCCTTCAAAACCCAAGGTCATTCTTCTGTCGTAAGCCCTCCTGTTGCTCACTTCTCAATCACACCAAAACCCAAAGTCCTCCCGCAGCCCATGGGCCCTACGCTGATGATACTTAGAGCGATGACAGTCTGCCAGAAGACAAGAGTTTCCACCAGAAAGTCAATCGGCTCAGCACTTTGGCTGAGAAAGTCTTGCAATGAAGAAAATGTCAGCTGAAAGAAACAGGGCACTTAGTGATGTGGTCCATCTACCGTTTGGCCCGAGCTCCTGAGCTCCTTACAGATGACCCTTTGAATGGCCCTGCCCTATCCACCCTGTTCCTGCCCTTCCTTCTCAAGCCATCCTACTCACCCATGTGTTCCAGACACAGTGGCTTCCTGACCCTTGCTCCATACTCAAGCCAGCCCCTACCTCTGGGCACCTACGCTAGCCGTTCCCTCTCCTGGGAATCATCTTCATGCAGAAACTTACATGACTGCTTCCTCCCTCTCTTCAGGTCTCACTCAGATGTCACCTCAGCATGGCAGATTTCACTGACTGTCTTAAAGAACAACACAGATCCCTTCGTGACACCCTCACCCTTCCTTCACCCTATTTTGTTTTCTGTTAGACGACCTAGAAGACAGAAATACAGTTTTTTTTTCAAATGTTTTATTTATTTTTAGGAGAGAGAGAGACAGTGTGAGCAGGGGAGGGTCAGAGAGAGAGGAAGTCACAGACTGAAACAGGCTCCAGGCTCTGAGCTGGCAGTCAGCACAGAGCCCGACGCGGGGCTCGAACCCACGAACCGCGAGATCATGACTTAAGCGAAAGTCGGACGCTTAACCGACTAAGCCACCCAGGCGCCCCAGAAATACAGTTTTTTAAAATCTCTTTTCTTCTACACTAGAGTGTAGTCAACATCGTCTTAGTTCAAGTGCATTATATCCTGATGTGATTTATGTACTATTGTGAAATGATCTCCACAAGTAGAATAAATGTGCACCACCTCACACAGTTACAAATTTTTCTCTTGGTAACTTTCAAATATGCAAGATGGTATTGTTAACTGTAGTCACCATGCTGTGCATTATGTCTGCATGACCTATTTATCTGGAGGATTTTACCTTGTGATCATCTTTACTCTCAGGCAAGGTTACCTCCAACTGTTCTCTGTAAGATTCCACATGTAAGCGAGATTGTACAATATCTGACTTTCTCTGAATGACTACTGTCACTCAGCACAGTGCCTTCACGGTCCTTCCATGTTGTGGCAGCTGGCAAGAGTTTCTTCCTGTTTCTGACTGAATAATATTCCATTTGATAAAGTCCCACCTTTTCTTTATGCATTTAACACTCGATGGGCATTTGGGTTGTTTCCCTGTCTTGGCTGTTGTGAATAATGCTGTAAACAACATGAAGGCTCAGATATTTTTTTGAAATAGTGATTTCATTTCTTTTGGAGGTACACCCAGCAGTGGAATTGTTACATCAGATGGTAGTTCTGTTTCTAATTTTTGGAGGACTCTCCATATTGTTTTCTACAGCGGTGGTGCCAGTGATGTTCAGACCAACAGTGCTTTATTTTCTTTCACATTCTCCATATCACTTGCTCTCTCTTGTCTTTAGATATTGGCCACTCTAACCGTGGGGTGATTTTATGGGGTTTTGATTTGGTTTCCTGATGACTAATGATGTTGAGCACCTTTTCATGAACGTGTTGGCCAGCTGTCTGTCTCCTTTGAGAAAATGCCTATTCAGCTGCTCTGCCCATATGAATAAGATCATTTGGGGGTTTGGGGGTTTCTTTTTCTGTTTTTGCAACTCCATTGTATAATTTCTTTCTATATCTTGGATACTAATTGCTTATGAGACATATGCAAATATTTTCTCCCATTTGGTAGGTCGCCTTTTCATTTTGTTGATTGTTTCCTTTCTGGGCAGAAACTTTTAATTTATTTATTTTAATTTTTTTTGAAGTAGGCTTCACATCCACCGCAGAGCCCAACAGGGGCTTGAACTCATGACCAGAGACTAAGACCTTACCTGAGCTGTGATCAAGAGTTAGAAACTTTGCTGACTGAACCACCCACGTGCCCATGCTGTGCAGAAGTTTTTAGTTTGTTGTCGTTGAACTTGTTTATTTTTTCTTTTTTAAATGTTTATATATTTTTATTTAGAGAGAGAGGCAGAGAAAGAAAGAGAGAATTCCAGGAAGGCCCCTCACTGTTATGAGGGGCTCGTTTACATTGTGAGATCATGACCTGAGCTGAAATCAAGAGTTGGACACTTGGGGCGCCTGGGTGGCTCAGTCGGTTAAGCACCGACTTTGGCTCAGGTCATGTCCTCGTGGTCTGTGGGTTTGAGCCCTGAGTCAGACTCTGTGCTGACAGCTCAGAGCCTGCTTCAAATTTTGTGTCTCCTTCTCTCTTTCTCTGCCCCTCCCCCACTCATGCTCTATCTTTCTGTCTCTCAAAAATAAATAAACGTCAAAAATTAACAACAACAAAAAAAAGAGTTGGACACTTAACCAACTGAGCACCCCGCCCTCCCCCAACTTGTTTATTTATGCTTTTATTGTTGATACTCTGGTGTGAAATAAAAAACATCATCACCAAGTCTGATGTCAAAGAGCTTACTGCCTTTGTTTTTTTGTTTTTTTTCTTTTTTTAAAGCTTATTTATTTATTTGAGAGAGACAGAGGCAGTACAAGTGGGGAAGGGGCAGAGAGTGGGGGAGAGAGAATCCCCAGCAGGCTCCACGCTTTGATCACAGGGCCCCATCCAGGGCTGGAACCTACAAACTGTGAGATCATGATTGAGCCGAAAACAAGAGTTGGACACTTAACTGACTGAGCCACCCTGGTGCCGCTGCCTGTGTTTTTTTTTTTTCCTACTAGTTTTGTGGTTTGAGATCTTACATTCAAGCTTTTAATCCTATTTGAGTGAATATCTGTGTATGGTGCAGCTAGTGGTCCAGTTTCATTCTTCTGGATGTGGCCGTCCGGTTTTCCTACCTCACTTAGTGGAGAAATGGCCCTTTCTCCACTTTATATTCTTAGCTGCTTTACCATTAATTACTTGATTTCAAACACTAACCCATTGCCTTTTTAGGACACATTTTTTCCACCACGAGTTGGTTTGAGGTGAAACCACTCATATTGAGAAACTGTAAGAAGTCAGTGTGCTCAAATGAGAGAAGCTGTAAAGACCTTCACACTCAAGATGATCTTCTGTAAAGATCTTCACACTCAGCATCTTCCTGTTAGAGTCACACCTCAAAGAGCAGACAATATCGGAGCAGTTGCTTCAAGAGAGCGAAAGCGCCATCGGCATCTGGCCCTTCATCTTGTTTGAAGGTGACAGGGCTTCTTGTTGCTGGTGGAGAGAGTGGTGGTTAAGTGCTTCCTTTTGACGATGGGGCAAAAGAGCCAGAGCAAAGCAGGCTGCCCATCTCCAGGTGAGTCTCGGGAGAGATGTTCCCCCTGGGTGGTTGTTCCCCTCATGCTCTTTCTCCTCCATGGCTTCTCCTGAGTCACGGTCTTTCCTCCAGGACTTCAGACTCATCCTGTGCCTGCATCCCTGCCCACGTGTACCTAGCAGGTGTCTTAGTCCCTAATACTGGGCTTCGTGGACCCAAGCTGCAAAGACACCTAAATAAAGGGAGGGTCAGTTGAACAAGCCCAGGGCTACTGAGCCCAGTGTGGATCCCATGGCCCAGGGCTGCATGAGGGATGCAAAAAGTGTGGGAAGAAATCCAGCCTCTTAATGTGATTCCCTAAGGTACCTTGAATCCAGAACGACGGCAGTCCCAAAAGCACCATCTGGCTCTCTGGGGTAAGAGTGGGTGATTTTCCAGGATGAGTTACTCTGGAACCATTTCCTGTGATTTGAAGTTCTCACCTGCTCTGAGGTGGGGGGTGGGAGGGAGAGGTGCTTCGATGCCCTTTCCTGGGGATTGTGAGTGGAAGGAAAGTCATCAAGAGACATTTTCTGTTTGCTTTGAAAAATGTTTTCTTAGCCTTAACCATCTCTTAATGCCACAAGAGACTCCTATTTCCTGTGCTGCTGCGGGCTTCATGCTTCACCTTTGGGGCACTAATTCAGCTAAGTATCTTCAGAAAAGGCAAAAGTTTTCGTAAATATAAGGGGAACTTCAACAGACACAGAGAGAACCTGAGTTAGAAGGTTCCCAACCTGTTCAACTCTGGTGTCTGCCTCCTCCTCATCCCCAGTCCTCATTTTTCCTTTTTTATTTGGTAGTTTAAAAAAATTTTTTAAGTTAATTTTTTTCAGTGGCTCTACACAGGACTTGACCTCATGACCCTGAGATCAAGAGTCTCATGCTCCGTGCGCTGAACAAAGCCGTCACCATATTGTACTTCTCTCCTCTTTTATCTCTTTTATTTTGAAGGCACATCTTAGACTCCTCAGCTCTCTCGAATCTTTTGATCTGTCCCCCCCTCACCCTTTCACACTGATACCTCCTCTACCCTTCTTTCCTTCCTTGCCTGGCCCATCTCCTCCCACCTTGGCCCTTCAACTCTGGATAATCATTGGAGCTTTGAGCCTCCTTCCCATTGTGGGCTCTTGAGTGGCTCAGAGATGCCATGAGCAACCATCTGGGGCAGAAATGGGCTGATGTGGAACAGGAAATGAAACTCCCCCACCAACATTTTGTACTTGTCACACCCCGCGCTTCCTGTTTGAAGGCAGGAAGTTCTCAAGGGCCCCTGGGTTCTTCCCCCCAATTTGTCCTTTAAAGACATTCTTAACAATTATAGAAAAAAATCCCACATAATATTAAATTCACTACTATTCACCGTTAACCGGTGAATAGGTCAGCGATGGTATATAGATTCTCAGTGTTGCACAAAATTCATTTTGTGACTGAAAATCTACACCCACAGTTCTGTGTTCCCTCCTCCCCACCCTAACTTGTTCTTAGTTCCTCTTTCATTTCTATAAATTTGACTACTTTACAGCTCACGTAAGTGGAATCTTAGGGTATTTGAGTTTCTGTGACGTGGTTAGTTCACTTAGCAGCAAGTCCAGAACGATCTTCTTGTCTAAGCCTGGACAACACCACACTGTACATAGATGTTCAATATTCTTCATCCATCCTCTGTCTGTGGATGTGCGGGCTGCTTCTACCTCTTGACTCTTGAGAATTACACAGCAATGTATGGGGATGTTCATAAGTTGCTTCCAATTCCTATGGATATAAAACCTGAGCTGAGTTTGTGCAATCACATGGTAAGTCTATTTCTTGATTTGGGGGGAACTCTTTACTGTGTGCTATAGCAGATGTGCCATTTTACATTTTGTCCAACCGTGTGCCAGCATTCCAATTTCTCCATATCCTTGCCAGCCTCAGTTATTTTATGTTTTTTGGTTTTTGGGTTCTTTTGTTTTTTTTTTTGTTGATTGTGACCATCCTAATGACTGTGACATGATATCTCTTTGCTGTACCATTTGCTTTCTGTAATATTTTCTCATCAGCTTGGTGGCCATCGTGTATCTTTGGAGACACGTGTCTTCAAGAATTTTTACCCATTTGTTAATTGGGCAGTTTGTTTTCTTGTTGTTGTTGAAATTTAGAATTTCTTTATATACTTTAGATGTTAATTCCTTAACTGATACACAATTCACAGATACTTTCTCAATTGTGTGGCTTCCCTTTTCACTCAGTCGGTTGTTCCTCCTAGGGGCCAATAGTTAATAAGCTTGAAATGGCCGCATTTGTCTATTTGGCTTTTGTTGCTCGTGCTTTTGGTGTCATGTCCAAGACCTCATTGCCAAATCTAATGTCATGGAAGGTTTCCTCCTGTTTTTCTGTCTCAACATCATAGTGTTAGGTTTTCTGTTGAGATCAGTTATTTTCAGTGAATTTTTGTGTATGATAGGAAGGGTCCCGTTTCTTCTGTGTGCAAATATCACAGTTTTCAGATGACTTTTTGTTGAAAGACTGTCCTTTCTCCATTGGGTGGGACTGGTCCCCTGTTTCTTTGGTCAACATGTGTGTTTCTATGCCAGGACCTAATGGTTTTATTTCCTGTAGTTCAGCAATATGTTTTGAAGTTGGGATTTGTAAACCTCCTGCTTCTATTTTTCTGGATTGCTCTGGCTCCTTGGGGTCTGTTGAGATACCATATGAATTGAAGGATGATTTTTTCTACTTGCTGCCAAAAATGCCATAGAGATTTTAATGTGAATAGCATTGAATCTGCAGATCACTTTGAGGGGTATGGACATTTTACTAATATGAAGTCTTCCAACATACGGTTCTGTTCCTGATAAGGATGGATTTTGAAAAAAGCAGTTTCTCTGGTCCCCATCCCTTGAATCCCCCCATCTCAACCCTCTAAAGGGTTTGCTCATCTCTCCCACCCCACTCGGGATTTGCCTGAGCTGATGAGAGGACAGGGTTTCCAAGGCTTCAGATCTGGAGATTGTGAGGACACCAAACAAGCCAGACTCTTTCTCGGTGTCTTTCAAGTTTTTCTTCTCTCTGGTTTAACTATCTATTAATCCATGGATATCTCTTATTCTGTAGTTTGTCATCTCTTTTCTTCTGTCACCGACTGTGCTACAACGGTACGGCATTAACTCAGTTCAATTTCTCTAGAAATGGCAAACTCCTGCGAATGAAACTGGGGGATTTTGGAGGGTATTTCCAGCAACATGGGAACCCTAACCTGCCTCTACTAAGACTATTCCCTTCTCATCATGCACTAATCCTTATTCATCTTTTTTTATACCTAAGATTTTCTCTTCAGCTCTCCTGAATCTTCTGATTGTCCCCCATCAACACCCCTTTATCGCTAACTGGCAAACCTCCACTTTCCTTCTGAACCCTCAACTTCCTACTCACTAGGGTATTAAGTCTTAACCCCTTCCTTTGTCTTCCCCTTGACCCTTGGGCATTTGGGGATGAGATCATGGAAAACAGGGCAGGGAATCTGTGTGTTAAACATGATTTAGGATTAAGAGGACACATGGTTGTCAGGGCAGGACTGTCCAGGGACGTGATGGGGGCCTAGCTGAGGGTTGACCCATCTGCTGTGGGGAGAGCAACTAGAGCCTAAAGGATGAGGTGGGGGAGCCATTTTTGTAGCTTTAGGGGTCAGTGTGAGAAGAGTGGTGAGGGGTTGGTGTAAATGTGAAGATTCTTAAAGACTCAGAGAAGCGCCCTGACACTGGGGACAAAACACTTGATTCCGGGAGCCCACGTTGGAGCAGACAGTCATAAGGATGGACACAAACCTCCAGAAGCTGGATGGAGAGCTGTTTATATCCCTCAAGAGATTTAGATGTTAAGTGCACACGAAGACCTCCCAGGGCACAGCAGCATGTGGGCGAGGATGGGACACTAGGAGTATGGGACAGACCACAGGACATGCTAGCCGGTGGGGGTTCAGAGTCTGGAGAGTGTGGAATGATTGGACAGCATTAGGTCCCCATAGAGGTAGTGGTTTGACTTGAGGGCATGACAGGACTGAAAGGAAGGAAAGAATGTGAGCTTGGGGCTGTCAGACCAGGAAAGTCTGGGAATTGTAGCCTGGTGGAAGGTTGGGGACTAAATGCTCGTGAATTAAAGAAAAAGCAATTACTCTCAACAGGCTTTATTTCCTCACTCATTATGTTTTGTACTATGTTTGCCTGAAGACAGTTTCCAAGATCTTCAGGTAGCTTAAAATATTGCCCTTCTGCTAAGTTAAGCTAATTACAGACATTCATTAATACCTAAATGATTTCCAAATGAGCTGAAACTGTTATGTTTATTACAAAGCATAATCACATCACTATGAATATATTGCACCTCTTAATGAATATGTCCTATTTGCCATGTTGTAGCAAAGGGATGTATATGTATATAAAGGTTTGGGGGAATCCTCTTCACAATGTCTGCTATCCATCCTGGTTTTTTTTAAATTTTTATTTATTTCTGGGGGAGAGAGAGAGAGACAGTGTGAGCAGGGGAGGGTCAGAGAGAGAGGGAGATACAGAATCTGAAAGGCTCCAGGCTCTGAGCTGGTCGTCAGCACAGAGCCTGACGCGGGGCTCGAACCCACGAACAGTGAGATCATGACCTGAGCCAAAGTCAGACGCTTAACTGACTGAGCCACCCAGGCGTCCCAATCCATCCTGGTTTTGACAGTCTTTGATTATCCACATCCAAATTATTTCTGTGAAATAGAAGTTTCTGTAGGAAAGATAATATTCCTTCCACATGAATGAGTCTCTGGTATGAGAAATCAGGGAGTAGAAAAACAACTTTGGGAGCAAAGAATGAATTTTATGAGTACAGTTTTGTCCCAGTATAAAAATGGCATGCATTGCAGCGTAGGGTGGATGAAAATGTAGGACGGAGCCGGAATGCATATAGAGAGTGTGGCAAAAGGTTCAGCGTCAGGGAATTTTATTTATCCTGGTTCTCTCAGGCTGAGATTACCTGGGTTCATGTATAAGAGTGTTTTACCAGAGCCTTTGGTGTCAAGTATTGTGATGTCCAAGTGGAATTCAGTGTATTCTTTGTTCCAAAGACACAACTTTTGTTGGATGTTTGTTTGGTCTGCTTTCAATAAGAGGGTGTAAAAGGAAAAGATTCTTCTGAATAATCGGCAAGCAGCCAAAGAGCCAATCAGAAGGAGCAATGATGTTGTTTCTGATCATGGGAAGTAATGGAATCTTTGTACAGGGCTGGGGAGCATGAGGAGGTACAAATGGGGTGACAGCATTTTACCATCATCACGTACCTGGGGCTGCAACAAGTGACTTTTTAAAAGCTTTATTTTTAATATGAAGAGATAGTTTCTGGAGTTCTTTTAATACTATGGTAGAGCAAATAGTTGTCACCAAAGACATCTTGAGTTTTAAACCTGGATCCTGTGAATGTCATATTCCCTGGCAAAGACACTGCCTGTGTGATAGAGTTAAAGATTATGAAATGGGAAGATTATTCTGGAATGTCTGGGTGGTGGCTCCAATGACTCTCAAGTATTGAGAGAGAGAGAGAAAGTGAGAGAGAGAGAAGGGAGATTGGCTTAGGGAGGAAAAGAGTAAATGTGAGGATAAAGCAGGGGAGAGAAGGTAGGTAGGATGGGGAACCAGGACCCAGAACGAGGAAAGTCACCAGAAGTTACAAAGGAGAAGAAAACATATTCTTCCGGAGAGGCTGAGGAGGGTACGTTGAAGTCCATTTGGGGATTGTGGACTGTTAACAGGACTGTTAAAGAGTTTATAAACAGGTTGGAATTCAATGGAGATGACATTGAAGATGAAACACTCGAGTTGAGGGAGCTCCTGGTCGAGTGAGGAGTCCTGAAGCTGTATAAGCCAAGAGAACTGCAGACAGAGACTCAGGGGTCCTGGAACTCAAGGCTTGTTAGAGGGAGCCCAGATGAAGGGGGAACAGGGCAGACAGTAGAGGTATAGGGGAGGTTAGAGTCCAGTGGGGGAGCAGAGTCCAGAGAAGCAAGAGGGATTGTAGGGTGCAGGGATCACACAGAGGCCAGGGGCGATTGCAGGGAGGAAGGAGGTTTCTGGTCTAGTTGCCAGGCTGGGGCTGGAGTGGGAGGGCGCAAGGTCGGGGGATCCTGCTTTGGACAGGGAGGTCCAGGGTTTCCCAAGGTCTAGATCGACCAGGATGAGATGCCTTTAGCTGGCTCTCAAACCAGTTTCAGCATTGCTCAGGATTGTTCTAGAAAAGCAAAAGATCTGCTTCCTTCCTCGAGGAACCTTCAGCATATCAACTCATTATCAAAGTCCTCCAGGAGTATTTCGTGTAACTGAAAGGCATGGAGTGACTAGTTTGCAGGTCACAAGGAGAACAGGAGATGGTCAGGAAGGGGACTGAAGCTGGGCGACTTTGGAGTGGTCAGAGCCTGGATGCAATGAGAAAATGGGGCAGAATCTGCAGTGCCCTGGATGACTGGGGCTCCAATTGAAAGAGGAGAGGGCAATGCTCTGGGGTTCAGAGCATTTAGCAGCCAGTTTTATTTCTTCATTCATACAAGGGTCTTTCTACTAGCATGTGTTTTTGAAACTCTCAACCAAAGAGCCCACAGAATTCCCGTGTTTGTCACCAAGGGCAGCTTGGAAAGTGAAACCAGCCTTGGGATTCCTAAAGTGCACATGAAATCACCTGCACAGAGGGTTGGCTGGGAAAGGCTTTTGACCATCAGGAGCAGGAGGCAGCAACTCTCACAGCTGCCTGACAGGGTGCAGAGCATATGTGAAGACCACTGGGTGGG